ATATACCAACTCTTTGACTTTTTCAAAAGTACTTTGATGCCAGGAACTAACACAAAACCACACCTTCAGGGCCATTAGACTAGGTGATTTCTGAGTATGATTTCTTTCCACTCTGCCATTTGCTGGTTTTATGAATCGTGGCCTGTTTTGCAGATCCAGCCCAGTGGGTGGGCCACAGACCTCAGAGTCAGACTCATGAGGGGGCGATGAACTCAAATGCACACTAAGCACTGACCGCAGCCTACGGGGGAGGCCCCCACATTTATCAAGCCACTGCGTCCAAATGCATGCAGAGGCGGCAATTTAATTCCTCCCTGGCAAGTCCAAACCATTCGGGAGAAGCTCTGCCCTTTGATCCCAACCTCCATCTCACTCCATCCCACGAAAAAATATTCCAGGGAGTTTCTCTTTTTCTAAGGGATGTGTGGTAGATTTTTCTGGAAAGTAAAATTCTATTTTGAATACATTAGGAAATTTCATTCATTAGAAGAAACTCAGAAGAGAATCCTTAGGAAAAGAGAAATTTTTCTATAAAAAATTTTTTCCTACCTCTATCTTGTTTATATTTTCAATCTTTACATATTACTCAGAGTAAGACATATCCACATACTATATAGCATCTTGACAATAAAATGACAATTTAAACTTAAGAAGGGACATGTTATCATGTATAAGAAATTAATTAAAGTTGTTAAAATAATGAATTAAAAATATGCCAGACGTACTATTCCACCTGGTTCACCCTGCTTGATTTTTTCATTTGTCTCCAGACAGCATAAATCCTAATACGAAGTTTTGTTGTTGTTGTTGTTGTTGTTTTTGAGACGGAGTCTCGCTCTGTGGCCCAGGCTGGAGTGCAGTGGCCGGATCTCAGCTCACTGCAAGCTCCGCCTCCTGGGTTCTCGCCATTCTCCTGCCTCAGCCTCCCGAGTAGCTGGGACTACAGGCGCCCACCACCTCGCCCGGCTAGTTTTTTGTATTTTTTAGTAAAGACGGGGTTTCACCGTGTTAGCCAGGATGGTCTCAATCTCCTGACCTCGTGATCCGCCCGTCTCGGCCTCCCAAAGTGCTGGGATTACAGGCTTGAGCCACCGTGCCCGGTCAACACGAAGTTTTAAATTTTCCCACCAAACTATCCGAAAAGGTCACGTTTAGAACTATAAACTGACAAGGTCACAGTGCAGCTCCCGTTGCTGAATCTCCCAGCTGAGAGGTGCAGGGGTGACACTAGCGCAGGCATGTGAACCACTCGTTCTGGGCACCGTCCCACGACTGTGCGAGCTGCAAAGGAGCCTTGGCACCTTTGGACTTGGAGCTGCATGGTCTCCTCTTGCTCACTCATTCTTCCTTACCTGCTTCAGCCTGCAGGGATAGCCAGGGAGTGTGGGGAGGAGCAGGCCCCACAGGTACCCAGCTGAGGGTCCCAGCCCCACTTATGGGCTAGGGACCTAGAAACCAGTTTTGGAGCCCATCCTCCTATCTGTGCGATGGGCTGACCACTCCCACCTCAGAGCGGGCTGCGGGGAATTCACTGAGATTAAACAGACTGAGCCCTAACAGAGGCTGAGCATGCAGCAGGCACTCCAGCCCCCAGTTCCAGCTCTCTCGCAACACCCACAGCACGCATGCAGAGCATCCTCAAACAATGTCACCTCCAGACAGGGGCACGTCCGAAAGGCACAAGGCCCTGCAGGCCGCTGTGCTCAGAACACAGTCATAGTCCCAGAAAATAACAATCCCTTTGGAGTTGTTGCCCCAAAGAGGTCCAGTGATTTGCCCCAGACCAGGCCATGGACAGAGTTCAGACCCAGTGTGGCAGGAGGTGCTTGGACCCACCCTAGCTGCCAGCTGTCACAAAATCCTGAGTTAAAGAATCATCTCAACGTCTTCATCCGAACGTTTTATATCTCTCACAATCTTCACATACTGGTGGTTGTTTTTTTTAATTTTCCCCCTTATGTTTGTCTCTAGCTGGAATTACGTATAGCAATTTCTCTTTTTTCTTGCTTAATCAGTATTCTCTTATTTTTCTATACCTGGCAAAATATCCTGCCACAGCAGGAACTGAAACTTGTCTCAGCTGTGAGGTGTCTGCTCCTACGCGCAGAGAGGAAAGGCACCATTTTCCTCCCTCCTCGACACCCATTCAGACAAAAGTGGGAGTGAGTATTTGGGTACCAATCTTAGGGCCCAGAGGGGCTTGTGGTCTTGGACCCATGGCTCTTCCTACAAGGGAGCACAACATTTACAACATGAACAATGGGACGGAAGGTGGGAAGAACACACGGCACCTTCTTCACAGGCCTCCTGGAACTCAGGCAAGACCACAGTGACCCTCACAGGCTCACTGCTCTTAGTCACGTCACTCCTTCCTCATCAGGAAACTACAACCTCCTCCTGTCTGCCTCGCAGCCGCCAGAACTGGACAGGGCCCCAGCACCCCTAGGGTCAAGGGCACGGTCACTCCCTGACATAATGACCACACAGTGGGAATGGGTAGGGTCCGTGGGGAAGGGTGGCAACATCACACCTGCTTCACACCTGCTTACGTGCCCCCCTCAACGTGCCACCAGAAGTGGGCCTTCCTTGGTGCCATTTCTCACCTGAGCAGATGCAAACCCTCAGCACATGTGCTAAGTAGAGTGTGAGCCCCAATGAAACTACAGATCACTGACCTGTTGGCCAAGACCCCAAGTTCCACACTCTCCTTCCTAGAAAGTGCTGCACCTGCCTTCCGTGGGCCAATTCTCAAGCCTCCCGGTGTGACGGAAAGCAGCAAGTGTGGTTCCCACATGAAGAACCCACGGCACCCGTGTGAACTACACTGTGAACCTGGCCACAGAAGTGACTCTTGCAGCCATTCTGCAACTGTCTGTTGGGGACTCCAGGGTGGGAGGCCCACGCCTGGTAACTCCATAGAAGGCGTACCATGCCAAGGGAGTGACAGGGACACCCTCCCCACAGGGTTCACATCAGGGATGTTACCTTGAGCAGAAGGAACCAGTTGACCACACGGGGTGCTTCTAACACGTACATTACTCAGAGATTTCAGGGCAACGCTGCCCATGCCATTAAGCTCCCGAGACCTATGTGAGCAGGAATGTAAATGCTGATGTTCCAGAGTTACTAGGTGTTACCTTCCTGAACCCCCAGGCACAGATGACAGCAACGGATCCAATGTTAGTATGTGTGTGAAATGCAGACCCTGGCTGGAGTCCAGGCCCCTAGAACTGTTACCTCGCATACAGTTGGTGCTCAAGAAATGCTGCCTCTATTATTACCAAATACCATAATTATCTCAAGCATATACTTAAGGTAATACGTATACCCATAAAGTTATCAACTACATTAGCCAAATAACCATTTAATTAAAACTAAAAGCTCAATCAAAATGTCCCATTTGTGTACCAGCTTTACCTGTGTAAAAATTCACTAGGTAAGAAATACAATCATAGGACTGAAAGCAAAAGAAAACAGTTGAGAATCATATCACTCCTGGAACATATTCTAAATAAAATGCAATTACGTGCCCCTGACACTCTAGTCAGTACTCCTAAGTACCCATGCACACAGAGTGGTCCTGAGTGTCTGGGAGATCATCTGAAGCTTCTGAGTCCAGATATTCTGGGCCCCAGAATTATGAAAGCATGTTCCTACTAAAACTGATTAGCATTTCGTAGAGGAAGTGGATAATGTAAGCCAACAGACTAAAGTAGCATCGAAGGCAATTAGTTCTGCTTCTGGCCAAGAAATAAAGCAGTAAAGTTTAAATATCAACAATAGCATAAGGTTAATTTATGGATCTTTAATGCTGGCATTTCATTAAACGCATGATGAGAAAGAGAGTCCTCGACATTCTCTCCCACCCGTCAGAGAGCCTACCTGGCTTTACATTGCCCTGTCCTCTGTGGTACCATGGGGAGGGAAAGCGATTAAACTCTCATCCGAGGTCAGGAGCAGGTGACCTGGCCCTTGGCACATGCTTGACTGGGGCTCTGCCGGGACCTGAGACAGATGGTCAGGAAAACTCCTGGATGCTGGCCATGCTGACAACACTTTCCCCTCCTATAGAGCACACAGCCAACAGTTCCCCAAGCTCACCTGCAGACTAGACCCTGGGCCTGACAGCACTGCTCCCAGAAACAGACACTGCATCTACCAACAGCCTGTCCTGGACCAACGTTCCACAGCCACGTTGATTTACCTGCATGTCCCACCATACCAGAGGGCATTTTCATGAGGATGTGGAAGTTCAGACCCAAGTCCAAGGACACACTCAGTGAGAACATGAATGGAATATCCTATGCCTGGGCCTCCACCTCTGCACAGTTGATTGGCTCCTGCACTGCCCTGATGTGGGCAAGGCAGGCTTCACACACCCTGTGTCAGAGATAAGAACTGAGAGAATGAAGGCTTAAATCTTAAGCGTCAACACGGCAGTACGGCCAGTGTGGCAACCTCAGCATGTTGGTCTGTGAGCAATTTCTCCTATAACATGCGGGAGACCAAAGCTGTGACATAAAATATCCTTGGCAAAAGCACCTCAGCACAACAATGACTAATGAAGAAAGCGTGAAATAATGTAAATACATATCAATAACAATTCCTAAAGAGGTTCAAATTACAGCAATAATGCATCCATTTTTATACTTAATTGATAGAAAAGTAAAAAACGAAGATCCATTGATTTGGAGGCTTCAGGAAAAGAGGCACTTCTTAGCTGCTAGTGAGCAAATGGCAATGAAGAAGCATTCTGTTCATAGACATAAAACAGTATTCCAAACCCAAGAATTCATCTCTAGGAAATCATTTTTAAAATAAGGAGATACAGGTAAAAAGCTGTTGATACTACTATTAATTTATAATACTGGGAAACTGAGCTTCCCAAACACCTATCCCCAGACAAAATCAGTCAAGGCATTCATTCCTTTACAGCACTTTACATCTCAGATCAGGGGCTCAGCACGCCTAAACCGCAAGCCCAGACCCTGGGGAAATACCTGCTTCATGTAGGCATAGCACATGGTCTCTGCGACACGTTTGCCTTCATCATAGCAGGCCCGAGGTCCTATTGGATTCACGTGGCCCCAGTAATCCTCACTTTGAGGGTGGACTTCAGGATCTACGAAGGGAGAAAAGTGAGACTGTTTTCATCTTTCCTTTTTCCAGTTCATATCAATAATGCATATTTATGATGCAACAGGGAACTTCGGAAAGACCCATTTAGAGATGGAGAGATGTAGTAAAGAGGCCACCTCAGGTTTCCGGTCCATTCTCTAAGTTCCAGTAGGACACGATATTAAGCAATGACAACATTTTACTTACAGGGAAAAAGAAAAAGAAAAAGATCAGGTCTCCCAATTTTAAGTTTTCCCTCTCTTCCGTAAATTGTTCTTCACTTTTAGAGTGCTACGCAAATTACAATTAAATAGAATCTATGTGAAGAGATACATGGTTTTGTTTTATATTTATAAAATCGATAACTGGAGCAAAACATGTATTTATTGAAAAAAATGAAAAACGCAGCATCTGTGGAACATGATGACTTTGACACGTGCCATCAGCAGAACACATCGGGACCTGTGACGAGACAACGTGGAGGCTCCTGTAGGGCAGGTGGAGGGATGGGGTGTTCCCTGGCAAATGGGAGCCTGTTCTTCTAGCCCTCATTTTACACTCCCAATTCCTGTTTCTCTAGCGTATAAATCAACCACGCTTTAAGACATACCAGGGGAAGAGATTATTGGAAGAAAATAAGTAACAAATTCTCTTATTCACACGAGTATATTTCTGGAATGTGAATATACATCTAATTTATTTAGTACACCTAGAATTTTATACATACTTGAGTACAACTATGATATAAAACGTGTAAGTCTCTGCCATGAAATCTGGACAAAAAGATGCACTGTTATAAATTCCCATCTTGTTTATCTTACCCCTGAAGTCTGACTTGGGACTCAGTGGGCCTGAGCAGGTGCAGGGAGGCAAACAGACAGGTATCCTGCCACATGTCTGCTCAGCGGATCCCCCTGGGTCAGCACAGCCTCCGCGGCAATGCAGAAGTGTGCTGCAAAGAAAGGTCTATGTATCTGCTGCTGTGGTTTAAAATTCCCTTTCGAAGGGCAAACTTCTCACTGCTCAGTGAGAGAAAAGTTCTAAGGAAACGACTTCCTGAGAGAAGGGAATCATTGACTTAAATTCACAGAATGGACCAGATGATTGATTTCAGACCTTTTTCCAGGGCTCTTTGACAAGAGCTGGGCAAGCTACACTCCAAAAGAGATGGTCATAAATTCGACAAAGGACAAGCAAGAAAAGGCTGGGTACGCCCATCTGTCCCTGGACAGGCACCGTCTGGACTGAAATGCTCAGGACGGCAAGCTTCTAAGTAAGTCCCCTCACAAAATCACCGTGGAAAAAAACAGGGAAAACTTACATTGTTAACTCAAAAGTAAAGATCCAGAGTCAAAAACAATTTCCAGTCATCTCCCCTTTCCAGCATTCTGTGAGGCTAAGGCACTAAGCAAACGCTCCACAAAAGTTTACTTTGGTTGTTCAAGGTCAGAGGAGAGCACTTGGTGACTTCCACAAATTACACTCTCAGCTATTTAGGAAGCCTAAGGAACACAGGCTCCTGTCAGACACGCGGATAATAAATGAGACAAGTGGGGGAAGCAGGGTGGCTGCGGGAAACATGTCACTGTGCTCCTCTGGACAGACACCACATCCCACAGGTAGGGAGGGGCACGCTCTGCTCTTTTATTAGTAACTGCTGAGGACTTCAAAAACGTAGACTATGAACTACCTTTTCATAGAGATTACAAAGAATATCACTGCATTGAGAAGAATTTCTCTGTTGCTATGTTTTTTCATTCAGTTTCCTTACTTAAAAAAAAAAGTTTCTTCTGATTTTGCCCACTTACTTCCTTCTCTCATCCACAGTAAGAATGTAAAATAGAAAAATTGCATCATACCAGGACCTGGCTTCCGCTGCATCAGCGAAGCAGTTCTCCTAAACCCTGCACACTCAGCTGGTTTGGGGCTGAAGAGAAATCAATACAGATTGGAAATATAGACCCTGTTCCCCACTCCTCAACTCCTTCCCAGGCAGTGAAGGAGAGGGAGGCTGTAGCTTGGTAAAACAAACTCATGGGTGTTCTGACACTACCTGCTTAAGGTTCTTCCAGAACTCGTTATACAACAGGGGAGGCAGTAAGCGCATGTCTCTTCTCCCAGGAAGCTTTAAAGGCCAGCCCGTGAGCTCTTGGGAGGTCAGGCATGCAGCACGCATGACTCACACAGAAGAACGACATGTGCTAGCCAAACAGGTAAAAAGATAGTGTGATTTCTGGGGTGTTTTCAGAGCAGAATGGCAGAAACACTTCCGTGGAATCATAAATGGTGGGTCTTTATTGACCAGGTGACAGGGTGCAGTGCTCCAATGATGTGTGATCAAATGAGAGGTTGTCCTACCAGGCAGAGGAGCTCGGCAACCGGGGAGGATGACAGGTAGCCTCTTGTGCACAGGAGGAGCATGGGCGGGCTGTCTCCTTAGAAAAGAACCCTGGACTCTTCCGAGACAGGATGAAAATAGACCAAGGGCTAGAGTGAGCGTACCCTGAGAGAGCCCCCTACTCACCTCCATACACCTCCGATGTGGAGGCCAGGAGCAGACGGGCGCCGACTCGTTTTGCCAGCCCTATAGAAAGCAAAGACATGATAAAAGAGACTCGATTTACATGTGCGGGCACATTTTTTGCTGGCCAATTTAAGCAATGTTTTAGTATTAAAGACATTTAATTATCTATTCAATTATCTACTCTTACTGCATCTGCTTTGGCACCAAAATAAACAAAACAAATGCAGTAAGAAAAACATAAATGGATTCTCAGAAGGCCAGTATTTTGTTGAATATTGTCATAAGCAGGGCCAAATGCAGAATCCGTTACTTTGATAAAGTGTGATTTCAGGAGTTTCGTGAGGCACTCCTCTGCCCCCAAATATGACCCCATATTATACTGGGTAACTTTCCCTTGGTTGGCAGAAGGCAAGGCCCTTCTCTCCTTAACTTCCACAATGGTCCACCTGCCACTTCCTGAACATGTCCTGGGCTCTTCCAACTGCCCATGCCACCCTGTCTGGATAACTGTCCACGCATTCTTCTTCCTCCTTTGCAGTTCAGCTTACACAGCACCTTCTCCAAAGCAACTGTCATTCCTCAGTCCTGCTCTGAACCCCTTCCCTGGACTGACCACTCACATGTAACTGACTAGAACATCATTATCTATGGTGGTCAAGTAAGTATGGAAAGTCTTCCAAACTCATTCACAGAGTCCCAGTGTACAGAGGTTCATTACAGGCTCCAAGAACCCCCCTGACCTTCACTAACCCTGTACTTAAGACAGGGGACATACCCCATCCCCAATCGCCACTACCCTAGACGGGGGCTGTGTGGACACCCCTCAGCTCTGTCCCCCACACAGAGCAGGGGCCAACACATGCCCACAAAGCACTGCTAGGAGGGTGAGACAAGCTAGGCACATGCAGCCTATGTGCGCTTCTGGGCGAGGCTGGTGGGGGTGGAAGGATTCTAGCGTGCGGGAACCAGAGGTATTAGCGTGTCCAACAATGTAGTAGCTTCAAAATGAAGGACCCTGAGATCTTTTTCTTCCTGACTAAATTTTTTGAGATATTTGTACATTCAAATTCAATTGTACAAAGTAATATAGGGATCTTATGTATCTTTTACCCAGACTCCTCCAATGCTAAAACTTGCAAACTAGACTGTGTCACTATCAGGACATTGACATTGATATGATCGGTGACTATTTCCACTGAAATGGACATTCCATTGATAAAAGTGATAGAGCATTTCCATCTCCACCAGGATCCCTCACACCGCCCTTCTGCAGCCTCTCCTCTCTCCCTCCCACCTGCTGACCCCTGGTAACCACGAACCAATTCTCCATGTCTATAATTGTGTCATCTCAAGGAAGATACACAAATGGAACATGACCTCTTGGGACTGAATTTTTTCACGGAGCATATTTCCCTCAAAATCTATCCAAGCTGCAGTGTGTATCAACAGGTCCTTCCTAATCTATTGCCGTGTACAATTCCAGGGGATATATGGATGCGCTGCCGTTAACCATTCACCTATGACGTACAATTCCAGGGGATATATGGACGCGCTGCCGTTAACCATTCACCTATGACGTACAATTCCAGGG